GAGAGTGGAAAGCTGTATTTTATTTTCTTTCCCATATTTTCTCAGCAACCAAACAATGGATGCTTGTTTTTATTTTTTTTTTTTCTGTAGCATTATTTATAATTTCAATTGCACACCAGTCGTTTGAAAAAATGCCTCCTTATATCTACTCATATATGTATACCCTTTTATATGTACTGTATAGTCTGTACTTTGCCTTCATTTATCACTACTGGGTGGCCCAGGACTCCTAAAATAGCGAACGCTATCAGCTTATATTGAACCTACTTTACTAAATTTTCCCTAAACAAATAATAATAATAACAATAAAGTAGCCAACGGATAATAGAGAGGGGATTAAAGAAAAGGAATAACCATATGAATCACAATCTAAAACAAGGAGGTAAATAGGAATGTTCAAGTACTATAGACTCTGAGTTTAACCTTCTAACTCTTAGAACTCATACTTGGATAGTAGATACTAAACCCAAATGTTCCACCATCCTTGAATTGCTTTCCTAGTTGGATTAAGTTTATGTTGTGCCTATTGTGAGAGATTGCAGTATCAATTTCATTATATAGCTTTCTCAGTAATGTGATGCGCGCTATTGATCAATATATTTAGAAGTTGGAAAACTAATTTGTATATCATGCACCCATTAGTGGATTGTGATCCATAAGAAAGAAGCAATGTTATCGTCACGTTCTCATTGCCAGCATTGACTTCATAAATGCCAATGCCATGTGCCGGTTATGTGTCAGAGTGTTCTTTGCTTTAGATCGGACTATAAGCTACGAAGGCCATTTCAAGCCTATTCTTGTCGTTCAGGTGATATAGCTCGTCGATGGTGTCTTCATCAGTTGTGCCGTCATGAACGGGACATCATTCTGGAACTTCTTCAATACGTTTGCAGAGGTCTGTCGAGGAGCGAGGAGGATTTTGAGGCCGCCAGACTTTAGCCACAATTCAGTGCTGATTTTGCCAATGGTGCTAAGGTTGCTGGAAGGTGGCCCCAAGGTTACTTTCTCTATCGACACTCCACTCCGTGAGAGAATTGTTAGTTTTGAGAGTTGATTCTCAAGCTCAAAGCCAAAGCAAACTAAATGGAACGGTAATGGTAACGGTAACGGAATTGACACCGTTGAATTGATGGGGAAGCAAAGTAATGACACACTAAAGGTCGCTGACGGTAAAGTAATGACAATTCTTGAGAATTGGCTGCAAAACACCATTTCGAGATCTCAAGGAAACGAAACAGCGTCGCCTAATTAGATGGTGGAGATTTCTTCGTTCCATTCACTCCACACATTGTTGTGGCGCGCGATGACACTTGCAAAGAAGTTACCTGCCTTAAAATCAACGACGTTCCAGATGACAGTGAACTGTTGTCATTGACTCAAGCCGAAACTCGACCCGTGTTACTTTAGGAAAGCAATACAAAGTATTTCGACTTACGCTTCGGTTGGTGACGTGTTGTCACGTGATTTGTGGTGGTGTGTAGAGTGGTTGAACGAGAACGTGAAGACGAATTGTAACGCTACAGTGTGCCGCTTTGTAGAGGATTAAGAGAGAGAACCATAATGTTTTCCGTTGGGGAACTTCGACAGTGCGATGATCACAATAGGGAGTTTGCTGAGGTTTCCAACTTCGATGGTTGTAGTTTAATGTGTTCTTGAGGTTGAAGGATAAAGAAATAGGCACACCCAAAGACTCTAAGATGATTGTAGTCAAAGGATTTGCCAAATAGGCATTCATAAGGTGTTTGGTTGTGTAAGAACGGTGAGGTTACACAATTGATGGTATAGACAATGATGAGAGCTACTTCACCCTAGAAGAAGGCAAGAGTAGAAGTAAAAATGGGCAAGTGAACGAACTAAGTCTAGAATATGTCAAAGTTTGCGCTCAATTCGACTAGTTTGTTATGATGTGCTTGGGCAAGAAGTGTGGAAAATAGTGCTATAATGTTTGAGTATTTGTAAAAATTCATTTTATTGATATTCCACAGCATTACCAAAACAAAATATTTTGATGTTTTGGAGAACTGAGTTAAAATCATTTCAGCAAAATCACAATATATGTTAAGTAACTCATAACGAGTTTATATAAATAAAAAAATCCATGTAAACCTTGAGAAATCATAAAGGAATATGACATCGTGATCCCCTGTGGTAGGCACATGAGAAAGGCCCCACACATCAAGATAAATAAGCTCAAAAGGGGCAGAAATAATAGACCCACTTTTATCAAAAGATAATGCATGTTGTTTGCCTAATTGACATGAAATGCAATCAAAAGATCCAACTTTAACTTGACCTAACAACCCCTTTGAGACTAAGGTCTGGACACGAGACAAGAAGCATGACCTAAGCGAGAGTGCTACAGCTTAAGAGAAGGCGAATTGACTTATGTAGAATGTCACAACCCGAAAATTTTAATAAAATCCTCTATTTATACAGATTCAAATACATTAAAATACACCCAGGATCATAAAAATTGCCCCCTCTTTTTATACAAAGATCAATAACCTCAATATACAAAAAAGTCTCCAAATAAATAAATAAAATCCTGCAACACCGACTCTTCACCCTAAGCTCGAATCTAGCAATCCCCGTTCGTCCTCGGTACCTGAAACTGGAGGGTGGTGAGACAAAAGTCCCAGTAGAAAAAACCATAACAAGAATCTCGTGGAGGTTTAAATAAAACAGCTTCACAAAATATACATACACCGGTGAATATATATAAACAAAATATGCATTTAATAAAAACAGTTAATAAAAACCATTGTAGCAAAACCTCCCCATGCCATTCAAGGTATAGAAAGCCCTACACTGAAAAAGTATTTCCTTACTGGTTCATCAAATCATCAAGCTTCCACTGCGCCCTCTGCAACTCTCTGCTTCTCTATCTCTCTCTCTCAACTCATACTGTCTTTCCTCAAAACTCTATATTTTTTTCTCTCTTTGTCTGTCTCGGCTCACACTCTTGTGTCACTATAATTTTCCTTTTTCTCTTCTGCATTTACTTATTGCCCACACTCTAAATTTATAGACAAATACACCTCACACAAAAGCTCACCACAAAATAATAATGCCACGTGACCAAAAACCAAGTCAAAAGAGTCTTGCCCACTAAAGGATTTTGGCCACAAAAGTCTCCGAATGGGCCACATCAAATCATCACAATTTATTCTCTCTTCCCACTTTGCCAACAATCCCATTTCCTTTTCTTTATCACACTTTCTTCTTCACCCATCAGATGACACGCCACACAAATAGATCACACTTCTGAAACAACATAATTAATGGGCCCCGCCACCCATTCATTAAAATTTTTGGGTTGTGACATAGAAGTAGCAGAGACGGCTAGAGTAGGCAGATTTAGAGATGAGAGTTCGAATAGTCGCCTAGTCTTTCTCTCGGTCCTAATGATCTATCCTATTTGACGATCCTGTACAATTTAACCACTGGAAGAAAAATTATGGTCGAACCTAGATCGGTTAATTGGCTAACAAATAAAATATTAAGAGAAAGCTTTGGTACAAGATAGATATCGGGAATATAGAAAATTGGGAATGAAAAATAGCCCCTATATGACTAATGGCCATGTTCGATCCATCTGCTATGTGTATAGCAGGTGAGTGAGGGGTAGGAGTATAGTGGTGAGTATGGCATACTAATTTGCTGATAGGGACGCTAACGTGGCGGAATGGATATGGAAGCAAGAATGCAAGATGAACTAGTGCGTGTAAGTGCATGACAGTGCATGGTTGTGGTGTCAGAAACTTTGGGTGGCGTGTGAGAATGCGCAAGGAGGTTTTTCGGGTCAATTTTTCTGGCATTTTGACGATCTTCCTTTATTCTTTTGATTGATGTGATAAGAAGAAATTCGGATAGATGCTTAGAGGACTTGATTTAGAAAGTGAACAGTGCTTGATGGCAATGAGATCGCCGCTAGTGAGTGGCATTGTGAGGTGGAGAGATACAGGTGGCTGGGGAAAAAAAAACCCCAAAAAACCCAAAAAAAAAAAATTCGAAAGGGTTTTTGAAACCCTAGCTTTGATACCATGTTAGAAGGGAAGAATGTGATATATATCGAATAATGTAATAGAATAGTACAAAGAGGCCTATATATAGTCATGAAATCCTAGGGGTATGTGGAGTTAGGTGAGTAGTACATTAGCGCAAGGTACAATAGGCACAGCTATCCGTACAACATTTATAATCTAATAGATACTAAGAAGATCAAAGAAGATTTTGAACATTCTTTAAATGGAGAGCTTGGAACTGTGCAAAATGACTTGGCTTTCAACTAGAGTTCTAATATATGCCTTAAATTTCATGTTTCATTAATAAGGGTGGCCATTCTTTTGCCTGCATTTCAATGATAAAGTTTGTACATTAGAGTTGGCTTTGGACCTTCAGGAAAAGATCCTGATGCAACATAATTTTTAGGACACTTCTGTCCATTTATTTTGTTTAAGTGAGGTACAAATGTCTGTATGCATGAACTTAAATGGATAAAAGTGTCTTTGCAGAGATTTCAATGGTGGAATAAACATTTTTAGCTTGATAGAGTCGATGTTGACTACCTTTGACTATAACAGAGAGACTGATGGCAGGGTTGATTTGTTACACGGGACGGTAACTTCTGTAATTTACCCTATCTGTAGGGGAGGTTAGTGTAATTTACCCTTTAAAATATCCTTTAAACATCATCTGCTCTCTCATCACTTGACTTGCCTAATGTTACTGTGTTTCATGGTGATGATGGTTCAATTTGATGACCTTAATCTTTGAAACATGAAGCTCTCAAGTAAACCCCTCAAAAAACAAAATTACAACTCTTAACATGGTTTTGATTGGAAATTTGTCAACATTAGCACGTAATAATGAGGACATATAATAGAGTTACAAAAATTACAATTATTTCAATGTGAATTGCAAAACATATAGTTGATAATACACACGAGTAGCTACTGATCGAGATATATTATAATGACTAAGATTCATTCTGATCTAGATCAATTACGAGGATGATGATAAGAAAACATGGTGTAGAAGGTCTGCAAAAATGTAAGAAGAAATAGGAGAATGGCAATAATTAATGATACACGTATCCATACTATACCAAAATAATAATGAATCAACATTCCGGAGCGTACTCGGCTAGGCGTGCAGAACTCCTTCAACTCCGTCCATAGCTGATTGTAAAAGAAATTACGCGGTACAGCATTCTTCCGCATGTCTTTGAAGATATGTAACACCGCTTCTCTGGAACCCAAAGAGTTGCGTATTATTCCAGCTTCTTCAAGCAATTCAACGTCATCTTTGGTATGGATGAGGATGCACATGAGTGAAGCATGCGATGTGAAAATATTTGGCAAGCAAGGGCTACATTGCTCGAAAGCAATGAGGTTTCTCAGGAATGGCTCCGTGGATTCGTCAATGTAGAAAGGTGGGATTTCGAGCTGACTTCTTTGCAGCAACCAAAAACGAGGACCAACGCTAAACTTCAAGTCAAATCGGTTTTGAGAATTTACAACTTCCTTCAAATTGACTCCTACAATGTCGAGTTGAGTAGCAGAGAATTTGAATTCGGCTACCTCGTTGTTTCTTGGCCCCCATGCATTCCAATTATCTTCATTGACGTAAGGACTGTAGTGCATGTGTAAAAGATGGAGTATATGATGAGGAGGTCTTTCATACTTGCATTCTGCTTTAGCATTTTCCGAGTCCATCATACCTTTGCATTCTCTTTTAGCATTTTCTGGTCCCATCATACCTTCAAAGAATGAAAGGATGCATTCAGTGAGAGTAGGAATGGAGCCTTTGTGCTTGTATTTCGGGATACATTCGACCGTCAGGCAGAACAATTCTTCAAGAACAAAGAAGGGAATCTGGTTCTCAAGCAATAACAAGTCGCGGTGGACAGCATAGCACTTGAATGGATTCCACAAAATGGGATCTGGTTCCTTTACATAATTCCTGTAAAGAAGTTCAATTAAGAAGCAACCATCAATAAGCATTATTTCTGCAAGGCTGACATTGTCGTCTAGTTGGACTTCTCGAAAGCATTTCCTGATATCGTCTTCCCTAATTGACATATCCGCCGCACAATTTCTCTGTGTTTCCTGAGATGCTCTAGTCCGTTCGAAAAGGAGATGCATGTAGCTCACTTTGACGGCCTCCGTTGCTAGCAGATGTTTCTTCCCTCTGTGAAGAGGCCCGATTGATACGGTAATAGGGCTGTAGACATCTTCACTCTCTTTGTTTTGCCTACGAAAAACATCCTGGACCCTGTGCATGACGGGGTACCATGGCTCCGACCACCAGAATTGGTTGAGATCATCTGTCTTTTCTCTGCTGTCGTCCATCATTATTGTTATCGAATTCGATAGCTCGTCTTCCATGGCCATCAGATAGTTCTGTGATCGAACAAGGCAATAGACACTTTATTTGTACTTATAAATTGCTTTTCGATCTATAAGTAATTAAGTTGGGCTGTCAAATAGTTGGACGAAAATACATAAATACACTAGTGGACCTTTTGTTAACTAACCACTTCAGCTGAAACTGATCATGATATTGAATAATGTTAGAGAACATGTTCACATTGAGACTTTTACCAGAATTATATAAAAAAATAAGTTATGTTTCTATTAAACTCATTCAACCAAAATGAGAAAGGAAGGCATGGCCATCTCAACTTAGAGAACATGTTCACATTGAAACTTCAATATTTACTTCTACGGACTTTTGGTTTGAGAGGTTTGTTAATATGGTCAATGTAGAAGGTGCAATGGTTTTAGAGGTTTATTAATGGTCAACGTACGTCGGTGTATTTTAGTTCTTCTATAGGAGAAGGTATGTAATATCTCATGGTATTTTACACTCGTATTTTCGAAAAATCATTATATGGTCCTCAACTTTTAATACTGGTGGATCAGTTTTAATTCAGACTGTTGGATTAAGAAAATAACTTCACAAGAATGTATTAATACTTGATGAATCAGTTTTAATTCAGACACTTGGATTCTCAGTTTTAATAATTTTTTGAAAACTACTAATTTTTCATATTTTTTGAAAGCAAATTGAGAGTTTTGGACAGAGAATCATGTGTGGTACTGGTATTGTATACTTTCTCCTTTTATTATTGATGAAGGAATTCGGGAAGTGCACATGCTAAACACCGCCTCATCACATGCCTTTGATAGTTGATTGTGTCAATGTTATAATAAAATAACTAGTGTGAATCATTTTACTTACGAGGACTGCTAGGGTGAATCATTTTGAATATCAAATGTCAGCATTTATGGGCAAACCAAATCATATGACTTTTGTGACAGTGTAACCGGTCAGGTCTTTAAGTGTCTCCATCTTATGGTGTTAGGATCGAATTTTCTTCCCACTAATTACTAACTCTCTAACCTTTCAGGTCATAGAAAATAAAAAAATAAAAACAAAAACCAAGTACACAAAACATACAATTTTAAATATAATAAGACAATAGCAAGATTCCACTAATGGATTAGTTAAACTAGATTACACTGATGGATTAGTGTTACAAGAGAAAATTTGTCCTACGTCGGATTTGGAAGGAAAAATATATGGGTATAAATAGATAAGTATGCAACACTGCCTAGTAACTTGAGTGTTTTTGTTAAATGGACAAGCACCCATCCATTACATTTGGTATCAAAGTCAGATCAAGTCTTTGATCTTGTGTCACGTAAAGTGCTCAGCCCGGAGGGCTTCCACGTCTTCACCGCGGGTAAGCAGGGCCACTCGAGCGGCAACGATGGCGTTGCGAGTTTAGATGGATGAGAATGTTATAAGGGGAAATTTGTCCCACGTCGGAACCGGATAGAAAAATATATGAGTATAAATAGATGAATATGTAACACTATCTAATAATTTAAACCTTTAGGTAAATGAGTAAGCGCCCACCCGTTATTTAGACTCTAAATCGCATGGAGAGAGAACGAAAGAGGTTGCAGGAAATCATAATGCAAATGGTGAGAGTATCATGATTCTTTCAAATGTGACTTTTGTAAATTTCCTATTCTGAAAGTGTTTTTGCCAAGGCCCAATTTAGCAAGGATTGGGGCATGTAAACAAGGAAGGCTTAAATTTGATAAGGAAAAAAGTTTTGCAATGCCTATACGTGCTGCAAAAATCATACAACGAAATGAACGAATAAATGAGAAAGAGAGAGAGAACCTTTAGCTGCCGAGAGTGGTGGATAAGTAGGGGTGAAACTGATATTCCAAAGTCAAGAACAAGCAGCATACCATAGATGGATGAAATCGAAGAAGCCTAGTTTATAATTTTGATTTGTTTTTAGTACATTATGTTTAAATCGTGATACATATATAGACAATGTATGGCTTACATACCTCTTATATCCAAGAAAAACAAAAAAAATGTATGGCTTACATGGAACACTATATTATTATGTCTACAGCTGGCCATCGATGTATAAAGACTTTGACGAATGAAGAGCGTTTACTTCACGTTGACCTGTGCTAGTAATGTGTTATGAGTTAATTTAAAAATATGCGAAGAAATATTTAATTAAACATACAAAAAAAAAAAAAAAATTTATAATAATAAACAGTATAATATCACGTATCTTTTTTGAGGTTAAATCTAATTACAAATAGTACCCTAAACGTTTTAAAAATTACAAAACCCTTTCTCTAATGTGACCGGAGTTAGATTCCGGTAGAATCTTGTTAAATAACCAAAATATCTTTATTTTTTAAAATTAAAAAATAATAAAACATAAAATGGCAAAACTACCCTACCAGATCTCTTTCCTCTCTCTATCCATCATTCACTCTCTGTGTAACGTACCCCTCTGCTGCTGGAACCACCGGCACCATCATCCACTCTGCCCGCCACCACCAAGCCCAACAGCACCACCGTACTCCACCATCACCCACTGCTGCACCACCTCCTCCAATTTACTATACACAAGCCAATGCATGGTCCCATTGACAAAAGGCAAATCAGAAACATACTCAACCATGTTATATGGAGGCACATTGGTGTGGGTGTCAATTGTTTTCCAAGACCCAGTTTTCAGCGCGAAGACCTCCTACCTCAGGAGGAATAATGTAGACCTCTTCCCCTCCGAACAACAAGGATTCGACACCGGCACCGGCGACCCACGAACCCAACCATGTCATCGTTGGTCCGAGAATCAAAGCCGAACCCAAGAGCGAATATGTAGGGTCCATAGATGTCGAAACACATGCCAAGAGAAACTTTTATTTGTTCTTATAAATTGCTTTTCCATCTACTCATTATAAGTAATTAAGCTGGGCTGTCAAACAGTTTGACTAAAATATATAAATACACAAGTGGAACTTTCCTCAACTAAGCGTTTCAGCTGAAACTGATCATGATAACCAGACTTACAGAACGTGTTCACATTGAGGCTTTTACCAGACTTACATAAGAAATAATTTGTGTTTCTACTAAAATCTTTCAACCAAAATGAGAGATAAAATATATATATATATTTTAAATTTACACAGGAAAAAAAATAATAATAATTAAAAATAAATAAAAAATAAAAAACCTGTACGAAGTAGGCCCTTAGAATTCCATGTGAATGAAGTTCCTGTTTTAACAGCTAACTGAGACAAACAATGAGCAGCTTTATTGCCCTCTTCCATCAAACAACAATTTATTAAAGATTTTAACCAATTAATTTCATGTCGACATGACCCTTTTCCATCCAACAACAATATATTTCTGCCCTTCCACAATTTCCAACAAATATATGCAATTAAACTAAGATTAGTCCTCATTTTGACCATAAAATCATTAAAGATTTTAACCAATTAATCCAAAAAACAGAAAGTCAAATTTCAAAATTCATCTAAAAACAATGGAAATGTTGTCTAAAAACCAGTAAGAACTTGGAAGTTGCAACAGAAATAGGATGAGAATTAAGCATATGTTTGGGCAAAAGTGCAATCACAAAACCAACCTGTGTTCAAGTGTTCACTGTTTCAAATCTCATGATTTCAGTTGACACTTTCACTTATGCAAGGCCAAAGTTCAATTATTTATTGACAAAAGCATCACCCACAATTAGTTTTCACCACATCATTGAGCCAAAAGGGCATTTGATGTAAAATTTTATTACATTTGGAGCTTAAAGCATGTTGATCCAGAAGATGAGCAACTGCATTGGTCTCATTTCTGCAAAGTGGAGAAGAACACCCTTTTAAGCTTTTGCAATAACTCTCATATCTTCCACCACCAAATTTGTACCACACATTCCACAATAATGTTTTCCACAGAATACTGGTCAACAACTGTTGGGCGGTGGAGAAGGGCTAATGATTCCATAACAAATGCATCAGTTACCCTAGGAAAGAAACGCCAAGTGTTCTCTCACCGCTTGACTTACCTGATCCCAGACTGTGTTTCATGGTGATGAAACTTCAATTTGATGAACTTTATCTTTGAACAACGAAGCTCTCAAGTAAACACTCAGAAACAAAGTCACAAGACTGTAAATTTGCCAACACAAATCACTTTTCTAGCAAATTATAACGAGGATATACAATAAAGTTAAAGCAATTGCAAAGGTTTTAATGTGAACTACAAAACACATAGTTGACTATACTAAGATGATTCTGATTAAAGACACACATTGCATCTTATTTATACTGATCTAGATCGAGAAGACAGATTTTAGGAACAAAGGCATATACTGTTGTCTTAATTATTTATTATTTTTTTGAAAGGTAAGTATTTGGTTACTGAAAAAAAAGAAGGAAAAAAAGAAATAAAAACAAAGGGGTAAGCATTCAGAAGAATTTATTCAATCAACAATGGCAGAGCCAAATACAAAGGAACATGGAAACCCCAAGTCCACCATGAAAACAAAAACCAGAAAGCTCAGCCAAAAATGACAGCCTAAAATACAAGAAATAAAAAATAAAGTAACCCATAGGAAACAGACTTGAACCAAGCCATAAAAATACCCTATTTCTACTGCAACAAATAGGACAACATACTGCATCCTAATAATTGCATACTTTCAGCAGATAACTATTGATTAGGATTATGATGATAAGGAAACATGGAGTAGAAGGTCTGCAAAAATGTGAGGAGAAAAAGGACAATGCCGCTAACTAATGATACACGTACCCATATTTTGCCAAAATAAATATGCATCAACTTTCCGGAACGTACTCGGCTAGGTGTGCAGAACTCCTTCACCTCAGTCCATGTCTGATTGTAAACAAAATTACGTGGTACAGCGTTCTTCCGCATATCTTTGAAGATATGCAGTACCGCTTTTGTGGAACCCAAAGTGTTATTTATGATTCCGGCTTCTTCAAGCAATTCAACATCATCATTGGTGTTGACGAGGATACACATGAGGGAAGTATATGATGTGATTATATTTGGTAAGTGAGGGCTACATTGCTCAAAAGCAATTAGGTTTCTCAAGAATGGCTCCGTGGATTCGTCAATGTAGAAAGGTGGGATTTCAAGCTGACCTCTTTTCCACAAACAAAAACGACGACTAATACTAAACTTTAAGTCGAATCGGTGTTTAGAATTTACACTTTGCTTCAACTTGACTCCTACAATGTCAAGTTGTTTAGCAGAAAATTTGAATTCAGCTACCTTGTTTTTTATACTGTGCTCCCATTTCTCCCATTCTTCTTCACTAATACGAGGCAGGAAGCAGAAGTATAGAAGATGGAGTATATGATGAGGAGATCTGCTATACCAGTATTCTGTTTTACCATTGTCTGGGCCCATCATACCTCCGAAGAATGAACGGACACATTCAATAAGAGTAGGAACGGACAGCTGGTGCATTTTTTCTGGGATGCGTTCCACCGTCAGGTGGAACAATTTCTCAAGAACAAAGAAGGGAATCTGGTTCTCGAGTAGTAGCAGGTCGCGGTGGACGGCATAGCAGTTGAATGGGTTCCACAAAATGGGATCTTGTTCCTTTCGGTAATTCCTGTATAGAAGTTCAATTAAGAAGCAACAATCAATAAGAATTATTTCTGCAAGCCTGACACTGTCATCTAGTTCAACTTCTCGAAAGCATTTCCGGATATCGTGTTCCATCACTGTCATAGCTGTCACACAATCTTCCTGCGTTTGCCGAAATGATGGAGTACGATCAAATAGGAGATGCATGTAGCTCACTTTGATGGACTCAGTTGCTTGCAGATATTTCTTCCCATTATGAATAGGCCCTAATGATATGGTAATAGGGTTGTAGACATCTTCATAGACACCTTCGTTTTGCCTACGAAAAACATCCGGGACTCTGTGCATGACGGGGTACCGTGGCTCTGACCACCCGAATTGCTCAAGAGCATCTGTCTTTTCACTGTTGCGGATGATCTTTATCCTTATTGAATTCAGAAGCTCGTCTCCCATTGATGCTTCATTCTCCATCAGCTATCTTCTACCTTAGTAGCTTTGTGTTTGTGTAGGCCTCACCAAACTCTGGGATCGAACAAGGCAAGTGGCACTTTTATTAACAGTTAGAAATAGGTCTTCTACTTGCTACAAGTAATTAAACTGGGCTGTCAATTAACTTGACTAAATTATATAATACACAAGTGGACCTTTTCTTATCTGATCATTTCAGCTGAAATTGTCATGATATTGAACAGCTTAGGGAACACATTCACATAATGCCCACCTTTTTTTTTTTTTTTTTGTCTTTTTCATAATTGATAGAGCTACTTCTAGATATATATATACTAGACTTATATAACAGAGAATATAGGTTTCTATTAAAATCATGTAACCACAATGAGAATGATTTTCCAAAATGTTTCAAAAATTGTTGCGGGATTGAAACTGTTAAAATCTATATCACTTTTCTATGACTTCAACAATTCATACAAAGTCTATAATACGCAATCTGATTTGTCTAATGAAAATGTTACATAAGAAGAAATCTTACACAAAAAAATTATGTTGTAGTTTAGAGTCTTTATACCTAATCACACCTTGTAAATCTTATAAAATTACGCTAGCTTCACTATTAAAACATACATACGTGTATGTGTGTGTGTATATATATATATATTACGACAAACACATTGAACCCAAGAACAAATCCAGAAACATGGCAGAAAAGTAAACACACTACACACAAAGCACACAAAGACTTAGCGTGGTTCGACACACTCTATATAAGCCGAAAATTTTTACTATGTGAAAATCAGGAGATTACAAGTTTCAACTCCAAACCCTAGCTCTCGCTCTCACTCACTTTTTTTGCGATTTTCAGTGTCTCTCAATCCTCCACTCCAAACCCTAAATGCCCTTATATATCGGGTTACAAGAGAGTACTAAATAGGGTCCACGACCCGCAAACAAAAAAGGATCCAAAATGAGCCCACACAAAGCTAATTCAACGGGTCAAACGGTCGCAACACGATCTGACACCAAATTCGTGCCACAACATCACAAATATATATATATATATATATATATATATATATATATATTAGTACCTACTTCAAAAAGTTGCTAGTGTTTTTATAATGCCTACATGCATGTGTAAATTATATACTAAGAAGCACGGATATGGAGTTACGGACTCAAACACAATACAACACGAATACGCCAACATGTCAAATTCTAAAAATGTAGGACAAGGACACAACAAGGGCACAGCTAATATAAATAAAAAATTTCATTTATATATCTATTGAATGAGACAATTATAGAACTTTAATTAATTTATGAATTCTATAAAGTTGCATAAGTAAGAAGATGATGCTATTCGAACATAAAAAAGAATATGTTATATAGTATATGATATTACTATCCTATCTTATCATTACTATTATGTTTTTGTTCCTTAAAATTGAATGTATGTTCATAATGTTGTTTCCACACCAAGAGTGTAGGATGTGTCGTCCAAGTGTCCTAGATTTGTCTACCGAGCGTCCAAGATGTGTTCGTCAGAAATAAAAAAATTCATTTTTAAATAATGGACACCTGTCTAGAAGTATCCATGATGTGTAAGTGTTCGATACTGTGTCGGACATGGACACGACACTTCATAGAAGTGTCCGTGATTCTTAGATTATATGGGTAAAATATTCATTGTTCCCTAAATGATTACTTTATTTTGCTCCTAGAGATGACTCATGAGTGAAGAGATGGGCACTTCACTTTGAGACTAATTAACATGTATCACACACATTTAATGGTGTGTCTTAACCATTGCTATAGTGATTCCTAAGCAAATATATGGATACCAATTCCCAATTCACTTGTAAATAAAACCAACACCATCATCATATAAAAAATAAATAAATAATCAAACCCAGAATCAAAAAAGCAGTAAAAGTGTTTCTAATTATAATCGAAATTATAACCATATTTGAAACAAATAATGTAACTAAAAGGGGTAGGAAAGATTAGAAGAGGGATTTGATATCATAGATGTTAACTATAAGCTATACATACCATCTTGAGCCTTGAAGATGATTTCCGTGTCTCTGGCTTTAAGAGCTTGCCTCGATGCTGGTGGATCTTTGAATTTGAACAAGAAAATAAAGAAATTGATCAAACAGAAAGGAGTAATTGAACCCTCCACCATAGAGGGGTGTGTGTGTCAGTGAAATTGGAGAAGTTTGGAGTGCTTGGGAGAGGAATGGAAATTTGGAACAGGGCGTCTTGGAGAGAGAGAGATCGAGTGGTGAAATGTGAGATGTGACCATGTGAGAGAGGAAATTTTTGTTGGTCATTTTGTAATTTCTACTTTATTTGTGAAATTTTTTTTATTCATTTGTGAGAAGGATATATAAAGATATTTTTTTTTTCTTTTTTTTTTTTTTTTTTCACCTGATAGAAAAATATTTCCTGATATATTGTCACTCTTATGGTGCGCAATTGGTGTGCAAAAATAAAACGGAATGGAATGTCTATTCCCAAGCATTCCTTTTATTAGTATGCAATTTAAAGTGGAAATAATAATCCCATTGAAAAAAGCATTCCTTTTATTAGTATGCAATTTAAAGTGGGAATAATAATCCCATTGAAAAAATAAAATAAAATCATTTTAGGGAATGAAACTACATTCCGCGAGATCCGGGTCACAATTTGTATCGATTAAACAAATTGTTGGAATTCCCAAAGTGATACATTCTCGAAGGTATATTTTTCGTGCTGATCAACAATGATTACAATATTGGGTACCCCCGTCATATATTTAATCCCGCCCAAATACGTTTGCAAGTGAGATAATTGTCTTTTCAACATAGCGGCATCCCTTTTCGGAAGACGGTTGAGTTTCCCCGTTTTTTGTTCCGTTCTCAAGTCCCTGAACTTATGAAGTCTCGTTTCTGTAGTGGCCCAATTTGTTAACATACCACCGAGCCATTTTTTATTAACATAATGACACCGAGCCTTTAGCGCAGCCCGTGCTACTGAATCAGCTGCTTTAGTTTTGGTACCAACAATTAAGAATTGTTTTCCCTTACTTGCTGCATCAAAAACCAAATCACAAGCTTCTGATAAAAAACGAGCAGTTCTAGTAAAATTTGTAATATGAATACCTTTATACTTGGCAGAGATATAAGGTGCCACTCTAGGATTCCATTTTCTAGTACCATGGCCAAAATGAACTCCCGACTCCATCATCTCTTCCAAATTGATGTTCCAATATCTTCTTGTCATTTTTCCTCTCACTTCCTCCTTTTTTTTTTTCAAAAAAAAGAGACGAGGTATCCTGAAATAAATAATTGTTCCGATGGAACCTTCTCTTCTACCGTAGGTTGTCCGTAGATACACGATCCAAGCCGTTATTCTTTTCTATTCGTTATTAGCTTTATTACTATTACCAAATCAAATGACCGGACCAAATACAGATAGTTAAGGTTCAAAGAATGCGTCCGTTCTTAGTAGGAATCATTAAATCCTATAAATGATTGTTCTGATGTATCATGGAAATTCTTTGAAAGGCAAGAATCAAATAATTTTCGGTGGTGGAACAAAATATCTCTCATTTTCCCCTCGAATAGACTCTTCTTTTTTGTTTCCAAGGGAATATTGTTATGTTGCCTTGAGGGGTGCGTTAATCCTTTGAATCCGGTACCTATGGGTATCCTCCCCCCCAGAACAACGTTTTCTTTCAGGCCTTTCAACCAATCGATACGACCCCGTAAAGCGGCTTTTGCTAAAACTCGAGCAGTTTCTTGAAAACTTGCTTCAGATATGAAACTTTGAGTATTCAGAGATGCTCTTGTTATTCCCAACAAGATGGCTCGGTAACAGATCGCTTCTTCTAAAGCACGCCCCATACGTTCCGCTCGCAACAACCCAAGTAAATTTTATTGCACAAAAAAAAAAAAAAATCAAGTTCTCAAAAACCTATCCCATTCCAAGTTCAAAAACCACCACCACCACTGTTATTGCCTTTCACCACCACCACCTTCCAACACAACCAGTCAACCACCAACGCCTTTCATCACTGCCACCTTTATTGCCTTCTACTACTACTACCACTGTTGTCGCCTTTAACGAACACACCATTGCCACCTCCATTGCCTTACACCACAATCACCAACTTCCATTACTAACACCTTCGACCACCGCCACCTCCACCGCCTTTCACCATTGTCATCTCCACCACCACCGTCACCATTACTGTTACCACTGCCGTTGCCGCTGCCATCACCATTGCAGCTACCACTGTCGCTGTCGTCACCACCACCATCACCTACACCACTATCGTCTTCCACCATTGCCGCTACCATCACTGCCACTGCCTTCTACCATCACCACACCGCTGCCACCTCCACTACCTTCCACCACCTCCACCGCCATTACCATCACCACCACCACCACCACCACTACCAACATCAGCGTTACTGCCGTCATGACTACTGCTGCATTCCACCTATACCACTGCTTTCTACAGCCAACACCATCACCGCCAATTCCTCCATCACTAACACCACCTACATCGTTGCCACCTTCCACCACCACCACTGCCTCCCACCATCATCGCCTACGCCACTGACGTCATCCACTACCGTCTTTTGCCAACATCATTGTCGCCTTTCGCCACCATTGACGCCTTCCACTGTTGCTACCTTCCAACACCACCATTGTTGCCTTCCACCTCCACCACCAACGCCGCCGCCATCTACCACCGTTGCCATTTCTTTTTTAAAAAATTATAGAAGAATGTTATTTTGTTAATTTAATTTATTTGTTACTAAAAGGGGTATCTTAGAGAATGCAATTTGAAATTCATTTCATTCAAAATTTTAAATTGGTCTAACCAAAAACTAAAATGATTTTTATCATTCAATTCCCGTTAGGTTGGATGGGAATATCTTGCACATGAACAGGTCGTTTCGCACCTTCAAGGTCATTTCCTTACTGTAGTGGTCCAAATGCTGAAGGGGATTCTCGGTCCTATTGAACTTAATGAACTTTGGCATAGTGAATTTCTTCCGTCTCTCGACTTGTTCTATCTCGTCTATGAATGGAGTTTTGATTATAGAGACGGTGAACTCTCATGTCATGTCCTCGGGTGTCTAGGCCTCAGCCTTTTGATCCACTCGTTTACTTCTTTTCGGAAGCTTGTTAGGACATCATTGCCTGGGAAGTGTTGGTGATATCCGTTTAAGACCTAGGTATTCCGCTTTCCTGATTCGGCATGGTCTTCTAAGACCTGGGTCTGAGTTAGTCGTGGTCCCCCCAATATGAAGCCTACCACCATGTGTGATTGGTTGGCTATGTCATCATCATCATGCCATTTGGAGCAACATGTGGTATGTTGGGATTTGGTGGTTACGGAGGGGCCCCTGGCTGCTAGAAGGGGTCACCTTATGCCAATGGCACTAGTGGTGGGTTCAACCGTTCGTTCTAGCGTTCGGGTTGAGGACCGAACAAGGCCAGCTATAGTCCTGCCAGGAGAGGTTGATTGGATTGTTAGACAACAACCCGAAGTTCCTCATTTTCTTGATGCGAAGCGTTGATCTGTGTCGTGCTAGCTTGCCTTAAGGCATTGATATATTCGACACTAGCTTCATTAGCTTGACATATGGTGTTTAATTGTGCTTGTATTTCCTTTCATATTTTTTGTATGATTTCCAATTGTTGTAGTTGAACGACATCTAATCTTGTTGCCATCTCAGAGCGATGTCGCATGTATTAAAGTTCAGAGTGGTAGTGAGAGGCTTTTTGTAGCTTCCCACAGATGGCACCAAAGTGTAAGTGAATAAAATTTCAGGCCAAACAATGAGGTTCAATCCAAAAGATTGAATACTCAAACACTCAAAGAAAATTTCATGACAAATGAGAAGTAGGAAACAAAATAAGATCAAATTTGAATACCCTTTCACTTAGGGTCTTTTGTCTATATTTATATATGTAAAAAGAGATTTTATTGGGACCATTATTGATCTTTTGATTAAATATACAAAGTAACTCCTGATTTGTTGCTTTAGCGTTACTTGCAGCAGTGGTGATCAAGACTTTGTATTGGGTTTTGTGGGCTTGGTGTTGTTCTTGGGCTCAAATGGTGTTTGGAACTCTTATGTAGGCCTTTTGTGCTGATTTATTTGGTTTGGGATTCTTCATTCCGGTCCAGTTCTTTAGGTTGGCCTTCTCACTTGATTGGGTACACGTGGAGCTTCATGAGTGGTGGGGAAATTTCTCTCCACACCGTGAATCAGAATTTTAAGAGATGTATAGTTGTGGATAAAGTTTGCTCTGTTTGTGGTACGGAGGAGGAATCAATTGAGCATATGTTATTATATTGCCCGAAAGCTAGGGAAGTGTGGGGAATGTCCCCTTTACGTTTAAAGATTGATTCATCAAAGACGTTGGCTTTTGGGATTGTTGACCCTAAAATCGGCTTGATCGAGCCGATCTTAAATTGATGGAAAACGGGCGTGCCAGAACCAATTGTATGATTCGATTGTAATTGATCAACTGTAGTCTTTTTCAAGGGTTGACTTTCAGACGATGCGAAGATAAATATAACAGTGATACTCCTCTTAAAGATCAAGAATTGCCTTAGTTAAAAGGACTTTTCAATGAATAAATTATAGTAAAAGATTAAGAAAATAGAAAGGGGAGGAAAATAGATATAACAAAAAAAGAAAGAGAGAGATAGATAGAAGGAAAGAAAGAAATAGATAGAACCAGAGATTGAGAAATATAGAAGGAAAGAAAGAAGAAATAATAAGGATGTTATTCTTAGAAAAGCTTGAGAAAGCAAATAAATAATAATAATAAAGATTCTGAGGGTGCTAGACCCCTTACACAGCATGCCTCTCTGTTTATTTATAGAGTAAATAGTAAACAAAAACCTAAATACAAGCATCTTAGTTATATTCTAATACATCTAAATAATTATTCAAATCTAACTAATCCTAACTAAATACTAACTCTTAACTCCATTTAAATACAAGATAAATATATAACTCTTATATAATATATTTGGAATTCAAATATCTTCTATCCTATCTGTAGTGCCCTTGTATGTAGCTTTGCCATCTTTTGTGATTTTGCCATGTCATCCAAACCAACCACATTCCATGCAATGTGTGAAGCCCAACATTCTAACTGTATTGTATTATCCCAGCCGAAGACCAAATCAATTGCTTACCAAAATATCTTCTAGCCCAATCTCATTGTCACATACTTAAGCCCATTATCCTCTCGGCCCAATCCTCCAGCAAATCATTGTTTCACAGGTTTTACACGGCCATACTATTACATGCGTCACTGTCCATCAAATCCAATTAGGGCCAGAACCCAATTACCAAAATGGGTGCCAAGGACATTTGGTTTATGGACTCATGATTGGGCCAAAGATGGGTCTACAACCCAAATGCCAAAATGGGTGTCAACAGGGACATGGTGGAAGGATTTAGGAAAGTCATTGGGGACGGAGGAGGAGTGTCAGATTGGTTTGGGGTTGGCAGCAAGTACTTGTTCGTATAATTGGAAATGTAGGAACGATGGGTGTTCAATAGGGAGATATGGGAGTCTCGTAATATTGCAGGTATGGCAACATGTCAATTTTGGGAGTTGATTAAGGCCAATTCATCCTTGAAATAGTCAGGGGGTTGGAAGGAGGATAATAGGATACCTTGTCCATTTGTGTCCAGGGAGAAAGAAAAAGGGGTTATTAAGTGCAATGTGGATGCATGCTTTGATATTATGATGGGCCCCAGGGGGGGTGGGGAATTCGAAGGGAGTGGCGGTGAAAGGGGTTGTTTTGGGGGCAGTTCAAGGTATTCTCGACTAGAACGTATGTATTAGTAAGGCAATTGACTGGGCATTGATGGTTGGAGACTGACTCACTGGTGGCATGCTCAGCCATAATGAAGGAGGAGAACTGCCGTATTGAAATTCAAGCTCTAGTTTTTTATATCAAGGCAAAGTTTCGGAGTTTTTCTTTGGTTCAGATTAGCCATGCGCGTAGGCATGGCAACGAGGTCACCTGTAAAGTAACAAAAATCTCCAAAAGTTGTGTTTGTGAGAATGTTGAGTTATTGTATTTTCTTCATCATGTACCAGTCTTTGTAACGATATATCCCAAGTTTTGTAGTAGGGTCTTGTTTGCCATGAAAAAAAAGATAAAAACCTTACATTAAACATTAGAGGAGAAAGAATATGTTACTTTATCGAGGTACGTTAGGGTTTTCTCTCCCCTAATGGCACACGTGTTCTATGGACCTGTATTAGAGTATAGTTCACACTATGATTCTTAAGATTGATGTGCTTATTGACGGTCCAGAATAATTATTAAAATCGAAAAAAAAAAAAAAAAAAAAAACACCATGTAATTATGACAAGTCACTGAGAAAGTCGGTATACATTCTTTTCGCAAAAATTACATTGTAAAATGGTTGAAATTTTGTAACTACTGTATATGCTTACAAAATATATGTATATATATAATATTTCAAAATAAGGGCTGCTACTCAGATTCTAGATTGATACAATTGTTCAGATTCTAAATTGATACAATCAAAAGTCAATTGATTCAAAAACCTGCTAGCATTAATTCATGTGTGAGTCGCAGTCGACTTGAATGAAGTATAATTATTGCAAGCCTATGGATTCTAAGAATTACAACATTTACAAGTTGAATTACAGATAATCATAATTTTTTAGAAGTAATTTTTTTAGATAAATTTTTAATTTTTTTACACAGAAATATTTTAATGGTCGTGTAATATTGATAAAGTAATACACATAATCATATCACAATGGGTAACAGAGGGATCATAAATTAGGAACTATTTTTGACATGTACCGAACAAGAAAGAAAAAAAGAATAGTAGAAGCTGGACTTGACATTTGTGGCCCAATTTGGTGTGTAGGGGGAGATGGTGAGTGGTACCACTCACACATAGCCACCATTGACACGAATGACCTGACCATTAACCCACTCAGCGACGTCACTCGCCAAGAACCCAACAACCGGAGCCACATCCCGAGTCTCACCGAGTCGACTCAGTGGATTGTCTAAATTAATTATTTATTTATTAAAGTTTGTGGGTTTTGAATTTTGATTTAGTTTTGTTATATATATATTGTATTTATGATGATGAGAGATCTCCTAGACGAAGGGATGAGGAAAGGAGCAGGATGGCGAAATGGATTAAAGGAATGGGCTCAAATCCCCTGCTGTGAGTTACCATGCAGCCTGCTGTGAGCTGATGAAAGGCCTTAGTTTGGCCATGTGTGCTTCAGTTTGTAATATGTCTGTGGGCTCCACTAAAATGGTGCAAAACGCATTATTCCGTTAAATCTGCCTTCCGTTAAACATCCATCTCTCGGCATCTCTGAAAAAGCCCAAAAGAACCGGCTCTACAAATTAATTGAGCCGTCTCCAAAAAATTGGGTTGAGCCGTCTCCACATTTCTTCTTGAACCGGCTGTCCATTATTTTTTTTTTCTTTTTATTTTTTATTTTTTTTTGCTTGGCA